TGTTAATTCCTGCTGTTCTTTATTACGTGTTTGTTCTTTGTCTTACTTAGTAGTTACAGAAATCTCACTTGTTTCTGGCAATACCATCCATTTCACAAAAATATTTTAGAATAGAATGTAGCTTAAGTGGAACTAAAAGAGAAGAGAATACTGTAGACCTTCCTCAGAAGAGTATAGACAAGGGAGCAGATCCCTTATGGGCGGTTACTGTGCTCACCGGGTGGAGATCGTAGCTTTGTGATGGGGAGGTATGATTCTGCTTTACCTGTTCATATGTTTCATAAGAAACACGTCCCCAGATTGGCTTTCTATTTAACTTTTTGTCTCCTTTACTTGCGTTATAGTGAATTATGTTTGTAGATAAATTTAAGCACTATTTTTTGCGTAGTACTTTAAGTTGAATCACAGAATGGCTTGGAAGGGTCCTCAAGGATCATTAAGTTCCAACTGTCCTGCCACAGGCAGTGTTGCCAACAAAAACTGATTCTATTTGAAATAAAAAATAATACTTTGACTAGACATTCCAACGTAATTTACTCCTACAGAAATTTACCACTGCATTATTTAGTATGTTAGTTCATTTAGTGAACAAAACCAGTCCTAGAAAACTTGTTTGGCTTAACTTCTGTCTTCGTTTTTCTCCCAAATGACTTATATTCCTTAGTCATATCTATAGTCTGTCAACACTAATGCCAGCTGCATAAATATTAGCTGTAAATGTATTTAAAATAATTCATTTTATTTATGCCTTGTACTAAGCATAGAGATACTTGAACACAAAAAAAGACGTAAAAAGCATTTATATTTTTTTAGTGAGTTAGTATTTGTTTCAGTATCTGTAATAAAGTGGTATTTCTGATCTAGATATCCGTTCCTGAGACAGAGAACTAAGACTCAGGGTTTTCTGAGGTAGAAAGTTGCATGTTGGAATCAAGATGAAGCACGTATCTATATTTTGTGTGAGAAGAACTATCCAGATTTATTACTGATAATTAATTTTGTTAGCAAAACAGTTGTAGACTTGATCTGAATTAAATCCAAGCTCCCTGTATGATAGCTGAGTTATTGGTAGTAATTAAAATGGCATCAAAAATTAAGTGGGATTTTTTTGTCATATAAATGATTAGATAAGTTTTTCTCTATTAAAAAAAAGAACAGTTAATATTTTCCAATATGAATATTTGATATAAATTTGATAGAAGTCTGCAGATTGGATATATGCAGTAAAAACTGTCAGTTCTTCTGGAAAACATCTGTGATTTGTATATATTACATGCTAACCCATGTTAGACCTTAGTTTAAGAATCAAAAATAATAATGCACGTCTGTAGTGTATGATGGGCTGCTTCATTGTCGAAGCTTCTCCTTACACCTCTAATTTCCTGGATGCTGCTTTCCTTATTGAAAAGGCTTAGTGCCAGATTTTAATTAATTTAATTTACAAAGAGTGGAAGCGGTTCTGAGCATTCAGGAGTCATCACCTGGAGAGTTGGAATTAATTATCCAATTATGGTATTGAGTGCCTTCTCCCAGGGTATGACCTTTAAAGATGCTTGCATTTCTTTCTGGAAGGTTATATAATGAACAGAGTAAGGTTAGAAGCTAAACCAAGTCCTAGTTTGGAAGAGACCATTTCCAGCCTCTTCCCTGATGAGGATGGTCTGAGCTCACGTTTAGTTATATCCCCTTTGGATGCCAGTTCAAGATAATAAATTTTCTGTCTTTGAACCTAAAGAGAACAAATAAAGGGAATAATAAGCTGAGGTAATAATCAAAATATAAAGTAGGATGTAAAGGACAAGGCAGAGTATTTCTTAAATCGGGTGTCTCAGCCCATTTCAGTGAATAACTGCACAAATAAACAGTTACTCATTTTGAAGGTTAAGCTCAAATAATACCTTTAAAACTCTGGAGGAAAGTTTAAATGCAATCTAATATTTACAGTAAAAGCACCTTCTGTGTTAGACTCAACTCCTTAACAAATTGATTATTTTCTCTTTTGACCAAACGTAAGTTTCAAGCGCCTAATTCAGGAGTAGTCATCCATCTTCCTTTCCGCTAGTCAGGCAGCTCGATATCCCAGCTTCTTTACAAAGTCTGACTTGCCAATGGAATGGATTTTTTTCTTTAGCAGTACAGAATCTATGAGTAGTTCTGAGTCTGATTAGCGTTTACATTGCTAGTGGTAAGAATTAATTTTGCAAACGAAAACATATACACATCAGAAATGAGAAAAGTATGATTTAAAAGAAAAAAATGATTTACTTACAGGAACGTTTTAAAGATTTCTAAAGGTTAATAAATATTTTCTTTAAAGATTTATAGATATTTTATCAATAGTCTAAGTACAAGAAGCAATTACTGTTACCTGGGAATGTGTATTATGATTTCATATTAATTAGTTTTGTTCTTAATCAATAATAAACAAGTAGAGATTATGGTCATGAATCTTATGCAACTAACTGGTTGGAACATGCTGTTATGTTATGTTTTTAAAAAGATCATTCTTCTTACGTGACCTTGGAGTAATGATAATTCAGACTGCAGAGCAAATCAGGCAGGGGAGTGATAGGGATTTAACCAGGTAACTTCGAATGACAAAATTGTTTGACGTTACGTTGGACTCCATCAATACTGTCAATCACAGAACTAGTACAATTTGGCTTTTGCAAGGAGTTTGGCAAGGGTATGTTGTTTTCTGTCCAAATCCAACAGCCAAGGAAGAAATGCTGTTTTCAAATTCCAAAGTGATCTAACTCTGTATTTTTCACAGCTAAAATTGGACGTTTCAGTTGGCATTTACATTCTTTACCACCTCTGGTTATGAAGAATACATCCTGACAGTGGCTGAAAAAAGAGCAATCACCTTTATTATTAATTCATTTGTAGGCTTTAACAAAACGTATATCAGTTTGCCAACATTGTTACCCTTGTTTTTTTCCCAGGATGTCCCAACCCCTAATGTGATCAGTGCACGCCCAGAGAAGTTGGAGAGATGACCTTTGTGTTTTTAATCTACTACAGAATGCTAAGCAGTAGTCGTATAACCTTAGTACATTTCAGTGTAAAATTGCCTGGTTTAGCAGACTGAGTCGATCACTGCTGCTCCCAAGACTTGAAACACAGCTTTGTGACTCGACCCAACCAAGTGTGGCCTGAGAAGAGTCACGTTATAATTAAGGCAGAGGTGTCACTTAAACTTCAAATAGATATTTTGATTGCTGGTCCCATTCTTCCAAAAGCTCCATTCAGATTTAAGGTCTTACACGTTGTTCTGCAATTTCTGATTGTGAATAAAAACAGTTTCTGAGCTGCCAGGAATTTTCGATTTTATGTATTTGACTGAGACTTAAGTCACCAAAACGTTTCTTTTTGAGGAATTGTCCAAAGACATTATTAAAGATAACCAGTTGTTTGTAAGTGTATCAAACAGGAATTGTCAGTCAAGCTGTCACATCTAAACCATGCTTGTTGTGGAGGAAAGGTCTTAGAAACTTGGAGTTGAGCACAAACTGAGACAGAATGCTAGACAGATTTCACTTCTGGTGTACCAATCCTGTGTCATACTGACATGAATAACTGTGATGGGAAGACTATTGTTGCTAATCTTTTGTGAAAAGAAAATCAGTAAAATGAAATGACCGGAATAATTGAAATAGGAAAAAAAATAGTAGGATGCAATTCCAGATCACTAATTTAGGGAGTGAAAATAATTTCAGGTGGAATTTAGAAGTGATGGAGAAGGAGGAGCAGAATTCAAATGAGCAACTGGTGTTCCACAATGATTGAGTCACTAATGAGAATACAAAGCTAAGAAAGGTAGATGAACCTTAGGAGCTCTGTCAGATATGACTAAAGATGAAATAATGTGCAGTTAGAATTCATTAGCTTGAGAAGTAGTACAGATGCAGGGTGATGAAAAGAGCCTTTTAAATTGAAAACTTCTGCTGGTGAAAGAGCAGTAGGCTTAAAACTGGTGGTAACTACATTGAAGCCAGATGTCAGGGTAAACTTTCTGTACCTTAGTCCACTGGGATATCAGAAGAACCTTCTAACTAGAAAAAGGAGAGCAAAACAAATAATTGTGCTGCTGGGTGAGTAGCTGAGTCTATAGAAGTTGCCTGATGTGATCTTGCAGTAAGCCTGGCGAGACAGGGAGGAGTCCTGCTCAGTTGCAGTCCCGAATGCCTGAAGCTGGGTTTTGTACTGGAGGCTGATATATAGGGGGATATATTCCCTCTGTTATTTCCCTAAGCTGAAGACCTGTGGGTTGTTCTGCAGGGACGCTGCTGCTCGTTCTCCTTTTGTTGTCTTGTCTCTCCAGAGCCAGGTTTGCTCATAGCACACAAATGATTATGCCAGTAAAACCAGTCTTAGAATTACATAGCCTAGATAACCAAGTGGTTGCATGGGAAGTAGTTGCTGTGCCTTTTATGTTGAAAATAGATTATTAATCTAGATTATTAATCATAGATTATAAGTTTGAGTACTGTATTGATTACTATTCTTACATTTATTTAAATGAAAATTAAGATTTTCTGTCTTCAAAAGAATTTGTTCTGAATAACTTTGGTTTTACAAACTTGAAAAAAAAATAGATCTAAATACCATTTGCTGCACTCATGAATAACATACATGCGTTTTCAGTGGCATCCCCTCCATTTCCTTATAATCTAAAAAGTTTAGAGAAGCACATGATCATTATATTTGGCAGTGAGAGCCAGTGTTCAGTCAATGGTGCTGAACATGGACATCACTGAACATTTTGCAAGCAGCAAAATTATCCTGTGTCTCTCACACAAAGAAAAAACAGACCTGTAACCCAGCAGCATATTACAACATCACTGTTGTATTGTCTTCTCTAGCAAATAATGCAGGCCTTTCATTCAGTGTTGGAATAATCTTAGTGAAAACAAAACCAACCTTAAAGCTGTCACCTGTTACATACAGTACACATAGAAATCTCTCAGTGATCCTCCAGAGAAGTTTTAGGTTTGCAGAAAGAAAAATTAAGACTTAATTTTGACTGATGCAAGTGAATTGCAACACAAGGGATGGTCACTTTCGGTTGCCCCTGAAGGTCGAGATCAACCCGTTGATTCAGAGCTAAAGACAAAGTGGTTTTACTGACCTAGAATATCTGGCTTTCTGATGTTGCAGATTAATTAGTTATTTAATTATGGTGATACAAAATGGGAACTTCTTAACATAGTAGCCAGTGAGGTAAAGAAAATGTTTTGAGTTGAATATGCGATGTAGATGGACTAATTTGTGTAAGTTAACTCAGTATTAGTTCATGGCACAGACATCAACGTGGCCTCCTGTTAATTTAGCAGTAAGTCACAGGGTCTTGTGCTATGTGCACCTGAACACAGAACAAGTACCAGTGACACCATTTGAAAACTGCTTCAGGACGTGGGTAACAGCTAATCTCCCCAAGCACCATATGCATGTGCTTGTCTCTAAAGCTGTCGTGTGTTTTGGGCTGAGCAAGCACTCTGCCATTGACTGAATTGAGAGCTGAGGTGTATGTGGGGATTAAATTGATCTTCTAAAGTAAGAAAGAAATCAATAACTGTCATAATTAGTGACAGTTAATTACAAGTTAAAATGTATGTTGGCTCTACAGCATATAAATAGTGTGATGAGCAGGAAGAGATAATTCCATCAAAGCATCTTATTGCTGTTCCCCACCCCTGGCATGGCTCGTGGCTTGGTGCCCTCTGTCTTACGGAGAGAAACTGTCCCAAATGCAAATGGGCAGAAGGGAACTGAAGGTAAGCTGGAAGAGAAACTCCTGTCACTGATTAAGCCTAGAGCTCTTAATTCCCCTGCAGGACTTCTGTGCATTACCAAGGCAGCGTGGCTCTGTTGGCGACCTCTCAAAAACACAGAGCATTTGTGAGGCCCTACATCTTTGAAAGCACCTCTGTGGGCAGCGCTACCTTTTTGCGTTACTCTGTGGCTTTGCTGTTTGTCTGTCTTGTGACCTCACAACGGTTACCTGGGAGCAGCGCTAACCTAGAATCACAGAATCGCCAAGGTTGGAAAAGACCTCCGAGATCATCCAGGCCAACCATCCACCTGTCACCAATATTTCCAGCTAAACTATGTCCTTAGTACAATATCTACACGTTCAGTTACAGCATCTTGGTCCTGTACAGGAGCTTGTAATGGGGCTATAGAATTAAATCTGAGCTCAGTGTATGGCAATCAGTTAGTGGCAGTGATAAAGATACTATTTCCTCAATTTAAGTGGGAGCAGGTAATGCAAGCAAAGCAGAAGTGGAAAGCTGATGCAACAGGTGAGGAAGAGGGGGAAAAAGGTTTTTTGGCAAAGGTAGAGAAGATGTCTCACAAGGTGTTTAGAAACAAGGGTGAATTTTGTGGTTTTGTTCAACAGTATAAAGTGATGTTTAAAAAGATGGTTTTATTTAAAAAACCTTCTGGTGAATATTTGAAACCGATTTGATAGTCTCAGCTGGCAGGGTGTAGGTTGTTACTTAGGAAATGGAAGGCAATTAGTAACTTTACATAGCTGCAGATCATAGTAAGCAGTAACTTTTGGGCTTTTCTCATTTCAGATGCATTTGAATCAGTATTCTCACGTGTAATAGCCTTGCTGGTACAAAATTCCCCATTGATCTTTTTCCCCACAGTGTCTTTTTTACATTCTCTGTTGTATTTCTCTCACATCATCTTTGGCAAGGACCGCTTGAGGTTTTCCCTTGCCATGTAGTCTGGGGAATGGTCTGTTTCCTAGAAGCATCTTGAAATTTCATCTGAAAAACTCTTATATCAGGGCTTCTGGACCTGCCAGTGCCTTTGATCTCTCCTGCTTTCATCCTGTAACATGACAGCTTGTGTAGCTCTTGGTCTTTTTGTGGGTCTCAGGTGTGTTTCCCAATGGGGATTTGCAGAGCATTCTTTGACCTGGTGTACTTAGGTTATAGGCACATCCTGCAAAACTTTCAGGGTTGAATGTCTGGTAAATGGTTTTAACTGTATCTTGCAACCGACAACCCAGACAGTCCCAACCTGCCCTGCATTCCTAAACTTCCAGGAGCATCCAAAATGACACTTAAAGAAACATATCAACATTTCTACACAAAATAAATCAGAATTCATGGAGATGAAAGACTCCTTCAACCATTTGCAGCAATAAGAATCTAGTTTGTCGTAGCTGTATTAATATGTCCGCTGATACAATATATGTGAATCAAGTAAATGTTGATTGCTAAGATTGATAATTTGGTTCATCTGTGGATTGTTTTGAGTTGAGCATATAGTGGAGACAAAAAGCCTACAATCCATCCCTTGGTTTTCTTGACTCATTTCACCAGTAAGGTTGACAGTTTGAGACCTGGAGATGTACCTGACAGGACCCATAAAGTTTCTTTAGACCTTGCCTGATTCACTTCTTTACGTAACATAAGATACAGAGGTTTGTGTTGACCACTTTGGACTTTTTTCCTTAATGTATTCAGTTTTGTCTTGCCCACTAAATCTCGGTCTGTTAATCTGGTATCCAGTCCCATGAATTCCCTTATTCTTTACCTGATCTGCAGTGCATGTCCATAACAAATTATCTCAGCAGCTGGGGAGCAGGGAACTGCAGATTGAGAGCTGGAACGAGTGAGGGAGACAGAGGGACTTAGTTTACTAGTTTTATGAAATTAACATTATTTTTTTATTTAATTATAAAACAGTAAAAGTGAATAACAGCCTCACCAATAACTGTAAAGCATATGTTTTTTTTTTTTAACTCTGCTGATTTCTGATTTCATATCATGGGTCCAAGTTCTATATTGTAAGTAAACACACTGTGACTGCAGTGACCAGAGTGTACTGGTCTGTGAACTGTTTAGAAGCAGTTAAATCGAAGATGTCTCATTATGTCTAACTCAAGTGCTTGGCTGTGTTCCTTACTTTTATTCATGTTTTCTTCATTGAGGGCTTCAGAAGTCGCTAACTTCATCTGGTGTAAGACCTGAGCCTTTGACTTCAGATATGTGAGGCAGGGCTTGGGCAGAGGCAATGAATGTACGGCAGCTCTATTCTGCACTCTTCTTCTCACAGGAAGAGTTCTTATAGCTACCGGTTAAGCATTGCACTTCTGTGTTCTTATTTAACTTAATTTGGCTTGACGGACGAGACGCTGAGCTTCATGTTTTCTCTTGAAGGAAATGCTGGTAGGCTGCGTGGAGCCTGGGGTAGCACAGCAAGAAAGGGAAGATAAATATTTGTAAAACTAAGTGGAGGTTTCTGAAATTGTGCCAGAACTGAAAGCCCTTAACTACACTGACAAGGTTTCAGAGGTTAGAAATGCAGGAGGAACTCAAGATTTGCTCAGAATATTGCCATGCAAAGTATGACTAAAAATACCATCCAGAGAGTATGAGCTAAAAGAGCATATGTTGGTGAAGTAGTGGTGATCTTAATAAGAAACACAGTTGTTGACTTGGTGAAGGCTTTTTTTACAGAGGAACACTCAGCAGAACTGTCAGATTCCCACGGGCGATGCAGTGCCTAGATTGATGATGGAAGCACAGCCTGACTACAGTCAGTATAGATCAAGTTGGTAGGGCTATGAAGAAGAGCATAGATGAAGAGGAAAGCTTTTTTGAGCAAAAGACCTTGAGGATAAAAAAAAAAAAAAAAGATAAGATTTCAGTCCCACAAGGACTTGGGACAAGAGACTCCTTAAGCTCCATTTTATTTCATAGGTTTCAGTTCAGCTGTTTGACAATTAGGGTGATATCTCTCTCGCTAATTCTTAGAATCATTACTTGATATGCTTTCAATTCTAGGTTTATAAAGAGACTAAGGTGAGGTCAGGATGCTTAACTTCTGATTCTACAATTCCTTTTTCTTTATTTAATCCTCAGAGTCACATTCAGTCACGTCAGATGTTGGACTTTGCAAAGCGCCCATTAAGCGTGAGTCCAAAATTATTTTTGTTTTTCTCAAATAGACGTGGTGAAAAAGAGATTTCGTATTAGTGCACTTGCGAGAGTTTCTTCACAGAAAAGTGGGTTGACAGATATTATCTAAATTGTGGCAATTGTTTAAAAGGTCATAAGCTATAGAATCTGCAGTCCTACTGTTCTGTTGATCTTGTTGGCTTTCATCAGGCCCAAACATGTGCTGTGTGAATAATGAAGTTAGAACAGTACACTTAACAATTTTTATAAGTTAGTCAGTAGCTTTGAGTGACTGTGGTACAATGTAAGGCTACGTGTGCTGTGTCGTGAGGACAGAATTTGCTGTAAGTGCTTTCAGTGGTTCCTGGTTCAAAGAAGTTGTTGCAGTGGCCTTCTATGGGATGTTTTCTTTCTGTTTACATCAGCTGTGTCTAAGAGAACTAGTCATAGACCAGATAGATTCTGATGCTGTGAGGTTCAGCATCTCTATGGGGGCAGTGATTTTTACTTAATCCAGATCATTGTATCCGTGCTTGTGGTCCCTAAAGAACCTCTTAAAGCTTTTCTTCTGTCTGGAATTTGCTTTTTCTAGTGACTTGCATTTGTAGCCTGTAGATAAATACACCTCAGGATTCAAAACCTTTTTGCTTACTCTCATTTTTTCTATGGTTTCTCACCCTTAAGTCAACAAACATTTATCAGACCTGCAAAGATAAGGCAGACGTATCCTTAGATAAAATATCCCCCGTACAAAGTACAGCTCCATTTGCTATAGGAGCAGACAACAACAATCAAATGAACTCAGTCTTGTGTTTAACAACTGGCCAGGTTTTTTTTGATCTTCATTAAGAAGGCAGGAAATTGTCATTCCTATTTTTGTGTGTTTGTGAATTTGAAAGAGTTTGGCGGAGTTCTTGGAGACCTGCACCTCCAACAAATGGTTTCCTATCTTCTTTGTTCATTGTGCTGCATTGTGCTAAATTCTTTATTTAACAGGCACTTACTGTACTTTTAAATGCAGATATGGAAACTACTTGCTGCACATTTATACTGGTATCTTTTGCAGTAGCTTTAATGTGAAATGCTAGAGGTTGTAAATGAATTATGATTATCTTTTAAGCAGACAAGGTGAAAAATAAGCAACTTTAAAGGAATCTTATTTAATTCATAAAGCAAATCTTAACTTTGTAATTAAAAATGTGTTGTTTGCAGCGAAAGGAGTCTGTGTTTAAGATTTTTTCATCTGTTTGCTTTGAAATATCTACCAGAAAACTCTCTCAGGTTAATAAAAGACTATAGGGACTTTACTGACAAATATTGCATTGCAGCCCCTTTCATGTTTGGTATCAGAAGTCTTCAGAAGAATTTATGTCAGAATGCAAGGAAAAAAATTTTTTTTTTTTAAACAAATTAAAAATATAGAATGGAGGGGTATAACAAAAAGGAAAGCAGCACCCAGGGCTTGTCAGATATTCTGTTTTGATCCCCACAGTCTCAGACAGAAAAGTGAACACAAGAAAGAGCCAGCCACTGGATAGCAGTGCTTGTAGAAAAGCCCCAAATCACTGCAATCTTCACTAAATTTGATTCCAGTTCTCCTTTGTTCTTGAGTTCCTGGGTTTGTTATTGTTATTTGTTGGTATAATAAGTTATTCCAATTAGTAACTGGAAATCTAAAAAGCTTGTATATTTTTTTTCTACCATTTTCAATATCTAGGCCAAATATTTTACGATGTGTATGTGTCTTTGTATTATTCTATGCAATGTTCTATTTTAAAAAGCAGAACAGAAAAAAGATTACTTGACTCACATGACTGATTTTTCTCACAATCAGTATTTTCCAATTAAAAACAGTGAAAAAAAAAAATTCTGGGGACCAGTGCTGTGACTATAATATTAATGGGCAAAACATAAATCTGTAAACATGTAAACATAAATCTGATTTTTTTTTAATACTCAGTATGGCATATAGTGTGAGAAATTAAAAAACAGTAACTGCAAAATGCCTGTTTTTGTGTCAAGTGAGATCTGTGTAACTTCTTGATGCACCTCGGGTAAACAGAGCTAAGAAGCTGAATTGCCTTTCTGCCCAGAGAATCCCTAAATTGTGGGTTTGCATTGGCTGAGGAGCCTGCCTAATCTATGGAAAGAGACACTGCCCAAAGATGATTTCAACAAAGCAATTAGCAGCCTCTCAAATACTTGCAGTTCTAGATGGAAGCCTGTAAGTAAGGGCCTGAATTTCTCATGCTCTGCTTGGTGCCCTGTGTGTGTTGACATTGCTGCCCTGATGTGGCGTGAGACTTGCCAGGAGGTGAAGCTTCAGTCTCGCAAGCACAGCTTCTCCCCTAGGGCTGATCAACAAAACTGGCTGTCACAAGGGAAAAAATCAGCATCTTCGTACCTGGAGGTGTGGAGTCTGCAGCCCACAGGGTATCACTTGTCTAAATGCCACAATCACACTTGGACATTCTAAAATTAAGCTGCCAGTTTTGTACCCTCAGCAATAGTTTTGGGGTTCCTTTGGAAAGATGGATTTTTTTTTTGCATATTTTAGTCAGATTTTCAGAGCTAGTTTTATTACATTTTATTTTACTTTTTTTTTTCCCTCTTTTGCAGTTCTAATTAACAAAGAGAATAGGTTTCCTAAAGTAAAGGATCTCATTTCTTTTTGCCTCTTGGCCATGTAGCTCTGCACAATGAAAGAAATGGAAGTTGGGCCAGTTTTCTGTAAGTGAAAAAGAACAGTGGAATGTAGCATAATGACAGCAGTGCCAATCACAGGTAGATTAGAGAAAGGGATCTTGTCAAATTAGTCTTAATTGCATGAATTTTTTTCATGCATATAATGTAGACTAAGACTGGAAGAATTGTCCTGCAGGAGTATTTCTTTTGGTCTTAGACTTGAAACCCTGAAGTTCTTTGGGAGTACTTGAGTTGTCTCTCAGAGATACTGGCAACTATTTCTAATATGTTATTGACAGGATGGAATGATAGTAAGACCTATCTCTCATCTTGTTTCCCTTTGTATTCTCATGTTGTGACATATGGTGCTATATTACACATAAATAGAACACAGATCATGCTAGAGTCTCTGCAATATAGAACTGGAGTATATCATCACCAAAGAGTGTGAATGGGTTAAATACATGAAATAAAAAAATAAGCCTGTGCAATACATAATCTGCCTTAAGTATCCATAGTTGTATAAGTTAAAAAATGTTGGTTATTTATTGATATTAGATTTAATTCTATAGTTATTGAGATGGCAACAACATGGCACGAGAATAACATCAGTAATTAACTTTTATGTTTGCTTTCAGATGTATGTTCTGTCTGTCTATAATTTATGAGTGACATAGATTATTCCGAGGCTCTGGAGATGATATGATCAATGCAGACAGGGTCTTAGGAGGTCAGGTAGTTCAACCCCTGCCACAGCTGGAGCAATTTTACCCCATCCGTGCCTGGCAGTTAATTATCTTGCCTGTGCTTAGAACCCTTCTGTGACTGAGATTCCACTCTCCCTTGGCAATTGATTTCGATGCTGAACTATCTTGACAGCTAGAAAGATTTCCTGAAGCTCTAAACTGAATTTCTCTTGCTGCAGTTTAACCCTTCTTGTCCTACCACATGAGGAATAGTTGTGTCCCTTCTCCTCAACAAAGCAACATTCTGCATAATTGAAAAAGGTTAGTGTGGAGGGTTCACAACAGTTTAAATAAAAGTAATCTCAGAACGTTTATTCTTTTCTTGTAGTTCATGCTTTCTAACTCACTGGATTCTTGCTGTTGGTTTCCTCTTGGCACTTTCTGGAAGGCCCAGCTCCTTTCTCTGATGGTAGCACTCTGGTTCCATGTCTTCATGCTGTGTTTCCCTTTGCAGAGCTGATGTATCTGCTTGCCACCTTTCTTGGATCATTTTGAGATCCACAGATGAAAGTGGTTGCGTTTTTTTCTCTTACAAAACTCTTGGTCTATCATTTACATCATTTAATGTGACAAGTACAAATCAATCCTCATAGCACGTATTTTTAAAATGTTCCTGTTTTATTATTTTATAGAGTTAGGGCATATTTTAAACCCATTTACTAGGACAAAATATAGGCAGTTAGACAGCGACAGCCCCCGTCTCTGATTCTTTGCTAAGGTCAAGATTATTTAAGTAAGACCTTGAAATGGTGAGGCTGCGTAGTTTAATAGCAGCTTCAAAGTTTGTGGCTTTTCCTCCTGATCTCTTTGCTGAGACTTGAGGAATTCTCTCCAGCATTTTTACAGAGCTGAGGTTTCCTAATGGCCTGCTGCAGGCCCACGGAGGTCAATGGCAATGAGTTTCAGCAATGTTTTTGGACCACGTCCATTGCTACTTCAATAAATCTGCTTTGGCACATTTGTTTTATCTGGAATTGAGTAATCCTTGCACAGGCAAAGGAGCAAGTGAGTAGCCCTGGCTTTCTTTATCTGATGGATGCTATTTGTTAGGATGAAAAAGTAGATTCAAACCATCTCACAAACTGAAGCGAGAGCCATCTTTGTCACAGAATTTCCCAACCCTGCTAATGAATTTTCTAACAGGAGGAAATCCAAATGAGCAGTAGAGCCCCAGCTCCTGCTGAGCTGTGCCTGGTGAGCAGGCCCCAAGAAGGTAGAATTCTGATGAGAGATGTAGGTTGTCGATGGCTGCGGTGTTTGCATTTTCCAGAGTGATGCAGTTCTTTAGGGATCAGTCAGCATCAGAAGAGTCAGCTGAAGTTCTTCTCAAAGCCTGCCTCAATTCTGGCACTTGTAGGTTTTTTTTTGTGTGTGTGTGTCTGTAACTTTGCTGGGGAAGTGGATACAGGGTTGGGAGTGAATTAGAGTGAAGGGAAAATAGCAAAAGATTCTATTCTGTGAAATAGCTGGGTAAAGCATTGTTTCACTGTTCATTTAATTTGAAAAGAATATACACAAAAAACAAAGAAAAAAAAAAACCACAACCAACAACCCACCTCTGTATTATTATTTTAACTAGATTGC